TTGCAAACGATTGCATAATCAAAACAGCGCGTTTCCTCCCGACTGTTGCTGCTCGTCTGCATCCTTCATCACGTGCGCTTCCTGACAATGGGCGTCGTTTAAATATGCAAAGTGATCAGATCACAGACCGCCGGTAAAACGAAACAAGAACTGTTGATTCATAGAGCTCAGTGCGACGAACACTAGAAGGAAAATCCTAATTCGTGCTCAGTAATCCAAGGCAGAAAAATAAAACAAAGTCAGGTCCTCTGGACGGTTTCGTTTTTGGTTTGGTTTCTTGAAGGAACGCTAGCTGGCAACTCGAACTTCATGTAACATTGTGTTTTTGAGCAGCATTTTTTTTTATTGTCACAAGGACGACTTACATTATTGTATTCTAGACTGTGTCCAATCCTTTGTTGCCCACATGGCACCCTTCTTGGCTTATTTGTAGACACCTTGGTAGCCGCCCCCACGATTAGGATTTAATCTCCTGGAGCACACTTTAGAAATAAAGAAGCGCAGATCTTTGACCAGTTCTTTGGTAATTATTCATCCTCGGTGTGTTTTTTTACACCTGGACTTTGGGAGCTGTAGCCTCAGCTTTGTTCCGTCAGGGGAGAGCGCTAAATTCAATGCAGCTTGATGGAAACCGAACAGGAATGGTTCAAGACGTTGGAGATAAATACGATTGTAGGCTGCACTTATATTCAAGAAGAGTCTGCTAACAACTTCACATGTACAAAATGTAGGTGGGAAAGGTGAAGCACACCAGCCTCCACCCTCATTTTCCCCACTTTGGACCCTTAAGAAAGCCCGTAACACCGACAGATGCTCCCTGGGCAACCTAGACCTCGGTTTCAAACATGCAACGCTCCTGTATCCTGGAACACCTTGCAAAAAGATCTGACCTCTCTAAGGGATTTTAAACAACAACCAGTGCAGACGTGTTCCTATTTTTAATAGTTTATATCACTTTATAATGTACCTGTTTTGTTTTAATATAATTTCTTCTATTTACTTTTCATTTTATATGCTTTATATATGATTGTCTATTGTTGCCTGTACCTCTTCTGCTCTTTGTTTAAATCAAGTCTCTTGTAAATGAGTTCTCGAGGCTCAGACCAACCTGTATATATAAAGGTTGAATGAATGTGGGCTGCAGGAGCTTGGTGGTCTGTAGCCGTGTCAGGAAGGACATCTGGCGTAAAGTCAGTCGAGTCTGCTTGCTGTGGTGACCCTTGAAGAAGGGATCAGCCAAAAGAACAAAGAAATGGCTATGCATTGTCGTTTTGTAGGTTGAAGGAGTTTCTTGTTGGGAGAACACAATCCTTTGGAAAAGTACAAAGTTGTATTTCGGTCTGTTTGAAGGATCTGATTACCCTGAACCTCTGTCAAGATAAAAGTAGACCAGGCAGCCGATGGCCAGGGTGCGCTCCGTCCTCGACGATGCTTCAGTTGGCGAGCCTAAATACAGTCCATGTCGCAGCTTCCTATGAAAGTCCAGTCATCGTTGCATCTTTTTCAGCAGGCGGAACATTTTATTATTTATTTTTATTAATCTTTATTTAACCAGGCAAATCCCATTGAGATCGCAGATGTGAGACCTGGGCCTGAAGGCAACCTAACATGCATTATTGGACCAGGTCTAAAGTTTAACGTAGACACCCAGAAACTTGAGGTTCCGAGACTATTCGGAGGAACAACTTGTTGCAGGAATGTTGTGAACATGTTCAAAATTCAAGAGAGATGATTGTGAATTTCTGCGTCTTATGCAAGAACAAAGAACTCTGGCGGGCGTTGAAGGTGTTTTGGAGACGACCTCTTCAAGTAGTGGCCAACAGAGATTCTGGCTTTAGAGCCTTACCAATGGCAAGCCTGCTTAGTTTACTTTGGATAGTGGCATTATCTGTTTAACACAAGAGGAAGAATAAATAATGTTGGTAATTGTCTCTTTTTCTTGTTGTACCCAACTCTTATCAAACCAAAGCACAAACTGAACCGTGCTTTACGTGAACTGCTACACCCTCGGTCCAATCAAATGGGTTTGTTTAAAGATCTTTTGTTCCGTTCTTTCTGTCGATGGCAGCGCGTAGGTCTCTCTGCAGAAAAGACACCTCCTGAAAATGTCACATGCAATTAAAAAGATGGTGAAACAGCTCAGCCTCTAAATAATTCAGATAATGGAGAGTGATTGGCTGTAAATTCTGCAGCGCTGCACATCCCCTTCGCATGTCAATGTTTTTTTGTTTATTTTTTAACTGCATGTCACAAGAAACCTGGAAAAGTCTCATACGATATATCAACCTATTGTGCATACCTCATATGACTATTACTTTTAAAACATTTTCATTTTTTTATTTGCAAAACCAGTGATTAGAGAATAAATGATGGTTGATTATGTCACATCCTCTTTGATTACCATCTATCTGCTTGTGGTAAATGTAGGACATTTGTTGTTGGTTGATGAGGAAACCTTTTGTTTCACTTCACTGAGCTTCAAAAATGCAGTTTAGATGTTAAACAAGTGACGTTTGGGTTTCAGTGTTTCTAACATTAGGGTCTAGGTTCGCCTTTACCTTTGAACATATTGCCCGTCCATGTTTTTCCTGTAAGATTGTCTTAGTAACAAAAAATCTCATGAACCAACGGACAGATTTTAAACTCTCAAAAAGTAAACATTTGATGTACATTTACAATTATTATTTGTAGACAGCCCCACCGTAAACAGTCGCCCCAGAAGCAACACAAAGTGACTTGAACTCTGTCAATGTTCTAAATATTAAGAATGGTAGTAGCTGAGGATGATCCTGAACACATACTCTGAGCACTCAAGATCTTTTAGAGTTTTCCCATTGAGTATTTGTAGTCAATTCTGTTGTTTAGTGAAGTGAAGGTTTGTGATAAATGAAGGGTAACTATCCCATTGAGATTTGTATAGATCATATTTTATTTGGCCTTCACTTTAAACCAGGTTAGTCAGTTGAGAATAAATTCTAATTTTCGAAGACGACCTGGCCAAGAGGCAGCGTTTTGCGATTTTTCAATATAGTTCCATTTTGGTTTATTTACATGGTAAAAATTTTATATAAACAGTAAGTTCTGTGGGTAACTGTTAAATTTCAGTCTGAATTATTGAAACTACATCATGTTGTACTTGAATGCAAGAGGCTGGAAGTGCCGCAGTGCCTTCTGGATGGTCTTGGGGAGAAATAAGTGGACTTTTTCAGGTCATGTGTTCAGATGGGTTGTCCCTGTTAAAAACAACAAAGTCCATGCTCAAAAATCCAGGTATAAAATCCAACATATTTCAGTCAGGTCATCTGGACAGTTTCTTTTTTTGTGATGAAACGTTTCGTCTTTGATCCGGAAGGCTTCATCAGTCAAGGAAACACACAAGAAAACTGATTCTTCCTCCAACAGCTTACTCCAAAGTGGAACAAACCAGTTATGTTGGTGCTAAGATGGTCTCTTTGGTACGCCCCCTCCTCCATTGCCGGCCCTTTAACACGACTGTCAACTAGGAAGAGGGTCGCAACGGAGGAGGGGGCGTACCAAAGAGACCATCTTAGCACCAACATAACTGGTTTGTTTCACTTTGGAGTAAGCTGTTGGGGGAAGAATCAGTTTTGTTGTGTGTTTCCTTGACTGATGAAGCCTTCCGGATCGAAGGCGAAACGTTTCAGCACAAACAAAGAAACTGTCCAGATGACCTGACTGAAAAATGTTGGGTTGTCCCTGTTAGTTTATCTGTTTAGTGTTGGGTTGACATTTATGTTCAGGTTGTTATTAGTGACTGTACTTGACTGATAAAAGCACTTCCTGTTCAGTGAGTTCCTGCAGCGTTTCCCCTAAATCACTTGCCGTGGCAGGGTGCTCGACTCTTCTGTGATTTTTGTTGAAGGGGTGGAGATGGCTCAGCCTGAGGGAAACGGGAGTTCTACCACAGTAGCTTTTGAGCGAATGCATCTGCGTAGCACTAGCTGAGCGCTACGTCAGTGCCGGCAGTTGTCAATGGTGTGGGGGTGGGGGGGAGGTAAGTAGGCAGGGCGGTGCAGGGGAAACACTGGTTCCTGGATTGTAAAAATAAAAATAATGTGGAATAGGTGGTCTGCAACAGTTTCTGCATGAAGGCCTAGCTCTTAAAGTCACAGTTCACCACTGCTAAGCACTAACGGACCAAGTCTCCCCACCATCACAGACATTTACACCTCAAGATGCAGGAAGATGACCACCTGCATCATGAAGGACCCCACTCACCCAGCACACACTTTTTGCCTCACTCCCCTCAGGAAGGAGGTTGAGGAGCATTAAGTGTAGAACCACAAGACTGAGGAACAGCTTCTACCCTGAGGCTGTTAGACTCATGAATCTCTAACCAGAATAATCACTGTGAAAAATCACATCATGTTGCTGCTGATCGGTTTCATGTTGCTGCTGATCTGTTTCATGTTGCTGCTGATCTGTTTCATGTTGCTGCTGATCTGTTTTATGCTGCTGTGTTCATTCGTGCTCATCTGCTCACACAGACTCATGTCCGTGCTGCTGTTCGGCCTATTGTTTTTATGCCATTAATGCTTAGTGTATATTTAGCTGATGTTTTTGTTAGTTCATATCTTAGATCTTATTACCGTTTTTCTTTTACATTTTATTGTGGGGTGTAACTGGGACCCTGTGCACATTTTTTTTCCACTACAAGTGGTGGAAAGACAGTGAATAAACTCTGACTCTGAAAAGATCTGTTTAAATTTCTGCCAAGAAAGGTGGTGAGTGACTTGTAATCCTTCAAAGAAAGTTAGGCGTTAAATTTAGAAAATATTTGGGATATTTAATGTCATATTTTGCTAGTTGACACTTTTAACTGGATATAAGCTGCGATGTTTACAAAAAGCTTGTAGATCAGTCAAAGTTTCCTGCCCATGTGATAAACACAATGAGACGTTCCTCCAGGACCTAAAATAAGCTCAGCGGTGTGGATGTTCATGACGGTGATTCTCCTCGTTTTTCTGTCTTCTCTCCAGCAGTGCACCATGTCCGAACAGGCACCTGTGAGGTGGTGGCGCTGCACCGCTGCTGCAACAAGAACAAAATCGAGGAGCGGTCACAAACCGTGAAGTGCTCATGCTTTCCGGGGCAAGTTGCCGGCACCACCAGAGCCGCCCCGTCGTGTGTAGATGGTAATCTCCTGCAACTAAATCATTTCCCACCAGAGTTCTGTTTAAATGCTTTTTATGCCCAAATCTTGATGTGCTGAAATCATCACTCGGTGTCCGCTCACTGAGCGCACACTTTTTTACTGAAAGAAGAACTTCCTGCACACCTTTTATAAATCAATCAACTCATTGATGAGTTCATATTTCCTTAAAAACATTTAAACCAGCATTTATCGTGCTTAGAGTATGTGTTAGGGATGACCCTCAGCTACTACTATAATTATAGCTCAATACCTGTAAAACTGAGTGAATTATAGATATTATGTTTGCTAATGTCAGCTAGCTGTGGCAGCCATCTTGAACGGGGTTTGCTCCTAAAGGCAATTATGTGTAGCAGTACATTCATTGATCAATCCCTGAAAGTTTCATTAAAATCCCTTTAATGCTTCATGAGATATTTTGCTAACAGACGCAGGCAGAATAGACCGCCACAAATTGCAACAGTATTTAAAACTGCATCTCTGGCATCTGAAATGACAACGTTTCAGTTTTAGCTTCACAAACAACGTTGAGATAAGTGTCTGTTTTAAGTCGATCAACACGTTCTTGCGTGCCTACTCAGAAAAAGAAACTTTTAATAACACCCACTTACGTTTCTATTCACTCGTCGCTTCTTAGAAATAAATAACAGCAGAGGTGGGAATTGATTCTGTGTTTAAGTTCTACCTGAACCATTCATACGTAAAGAGCTTTGCATTTATGGTCCTAATTGCAACGAGCAGAAAGACCTGTGGTTCTGCTCCAAGGCTGATTTCTAATTTTACAGCATCTATTAACGGACATAAAAGTCTTTGTGGAGACCTCATTTGTCATTTTAGGAACAGCTTCACGCAGATCGATATTCATTTTTCATCCTGCAAATGAACAAATCAAATCGTTATGTAGTGTGACGATATTAGGCAGGCTGAAGAACAGAGGTGGAGCTCCTTAAAGCAACAATAATTTACTTTAAATATTCTGTTTGAGTTTTGACAGAACAGCTACCTATTTATTAAAGTATAATGCAACACCACTTTTTTAGAGCTTAAAAAGCATTTAAAAAATCTAATCCTCATGTATAATGCTACCCTTAATTTCATACAACGTGGAAGAAGATCATTAACTATAGTTGACTTTGAGCTTGGCTTTGTTAACTTTACACTACATGATGACTTTGGGTTTTGTGGCACTAGTTGGTGCTAGCTAGCTGATGCTAATAGAAGCTATAGCACCAACCCAAACCAATTATCCAGATTTTTTGGCTTGTTCTATTTAATTCCACTTTTTTAGGAGCTTTATATCAACAAATTAGTCCTTTTAAACTAATTTTAGGGTAGCGCGCCAAACTGACAACCTGCTGAGGTAAAACTACCGGGATGGCTTGGTTCAAATTAGACCATTTCCCCTAGATTACTTGCCTTGGCGGGGGGTTGAAGGAAACTGCTCCGCACTAGGGAGACAGAGCGCTACCTCTGTAGCTTTTTAGTAAGTGTGTCTGTATTGTGCGCCGCTACCTTAGTGTAGTAGTAAGCCCTCCTTGTAGGGAACACTGTCCTGCATCTTTGAGTGTGTAACGTAACCAATAACATTTCCATATTTAGTGTAGGCAACTGACTGGAAAACCGTGGATTCAGGAGAAGCAGTTTGTTTTATTTGGTCCAAATTTTCTAGTTCTAGAATTGCGCCGCTTGGAGTGGCTGCATGTTGGATGATTATTTACTCTGGTATCGAATGCTGTGCAGCTGGAAGGATTTTTTACTGAAACTTTTTTACTTTTGGGCATTTGTTACGATGCGTAACCATGGCAACAAGGTGGTTTTTTTTTTTAACAACCAGGAGCAGCTGATTAACATTGTAAAAGCTCACATACCTCAAATACAGCCCCAAATCCCAAATGAGTTGAAAAGGAGGTGCCGTGGACAAATCCCCGTCAACCTGGTGGCGGTACTCGAGTGCCTGGCTGCTGAGATCCTGGAGCTGGTGGGAGGCTTGACTCATGACAGTGGCAGGACCGGGGTCATCTACCGGCACCTTTGGCTGTCTGTCTGTGGCGATGAGGAGCTCGGCAGACTGCTGGGAGGAGTGACAATCGCTCAGGGAGGAATTCTGCCCGGCATTCGGGCAGTCCTGCTGCCCAGGAGGACCGAGAGGCCCGCCGGATCTGACAGCAAGCTGGATCCAGGTAGACGGATCGGTATATGTTGCCAGATTCTTCGGATTCGCTGCAGGAAATCCTTCTTGCCCACAGCTATCAGCATCTATAACAACTCTTGAATGAAACCAGGACGATGAGCTATAACAATACTTCATTTCCCTTTGGGATTAATAAAGTACTTTTGAATTGAATTTTAAAGCAGTGCACTGGATCTTAACCCTTGCAGAGTTCCATGTTTGAGGGAATTTGTGGGTAACAGTGAAAATATAAGGTACCAAAGTCCTTCTGATGGGCTGTCTGGGTTCTTTACAGCCAAAGCACAAGCTGAATGTTGTTTTTCTACCAACATTTTTATGTTGTTTTTCTGTTGGCTAGGTTTTTAAGCCTAATCCATCATATTGATAACTAAATGTATGAGGAGGAGGTGAAATAAACAGACGCATGTACACCATAAACAGTGTGTGAGTTAGACCCCGGGGCTCTACAAAGAATGAAGGGTTTATTAAGTCTGAATGTGCTCACTGCAGACTGAAGCTGATGGCCTAAAAGGTCTCTTAACATGCTAATGTGCCAAGCCCTCCCGACTCAGTCAAAGTGGCAGCATCGCTTTGGTCTGAAAAGCTTGACTTTCTGGCGAAACTCCAGATAGCTCATGTTTGACCTATTCCTTGACATTTTAGTATTGACATTTTCTGCAAATTAGAGTTGTGAGCCACCAGCCTCAGTTTAAAGCTCCTCCGTTGATCTCAGGGAAAAAATGATAAGCACTTAACCTTTTAATTATTCTTTCTTCTGCAACCAGGGATTACCTTTAGCCCCGCTTGGTGTGAGAAGATCTCCTCTTCATATGAGGATAAATGAACCTGCAGACATCTGAGAAAACTACTCTCTCAGGCTAAGAGATGGAGTGATAGAAAATTCTGTTAACTTTTCTGAATACATTTTTCTAGATCAGTCTTGAATCTTACAAGTGCTACTTTGACCCACGCAAGATGAATCTCGGAAAATAAGACATATTGATGGTGATGATGTAGTTACTACCCACAATTGTGACATATTTATTGATTTCTTCTATAAATCCATTCAACCTTAGGATCTTTGCAATTTAAAGCTGACAAAATGTTCATGTTTATGTATAAAGTGTAAAGAGAACCAAAATCAATGGAAAACAAGAAGTATGCCGATGTCCCCCATGGCTGAGGGACTTGAATAATAAATGTTTGTAATTTATTAGCTGAGTCTAACAAGGTTGAGTCAGATCCATCCAGAGGACCTGACTCAACTTTGTTAGATTTATATACCTGGATTATTGTATGCATGTATCAAGACATTATGAGTTGAGTCTTTTTCTGGATTGGAACTGAACAGAGAATGCAAGTAAACCTTAATGTTTTTGGTGCAAAATATTCAAGTGGGTAGGAGTTACAAGAATGTATTTATTTGTCCTCGAATGGGGCAGCACAGAGATAATTGTATCCACCACCAGGAGCAGAGCCATTGGTGGCCACCTTGGCAACCACTGAATACTTTTCAGCCACCCTCAGGGCACCCACAATTATTTGAGTGAACTATACTTTCAAGCAATATGAAATCTTGAAACAGTTTATTCAAAATGGCAGGGTGTCCAGTTTACAAATATGTGGGTGGTGTCCACCTTGGATTTTGGCGTGGCAACCCAATTTTCATAAGAGACTGTTCTTACGCCTAGATGCAGCCACACACTAAAATGGAAGTAGGTACCTCGCTTATTTTTCAAGTTATGCTCGTAAAATAGACAGATAGATGGAGGGCATTTCCAATTTCCCTTTTTGCTCCACAACAGGAACAAAAAAAAGGGTATATTTCATGATTCGTACACATATTTACTTTTGAATTTGCACCTTTGTATTTCGGCACAGTAATATTTGGTTTCCAAGTGAAAAGTCAAGAAATATGTTAAGTGCAAAACAAAAACTATAGCTCAGTGACAAAAGTTACGTATAGAACCACAAACTGTGGCACCAGCAGAACATAATGACCATTCAAGAATAAAGTAGTGACGGAGCAGAACATGCATGATGATCATCACGCCAGAATTACCTGTTAAAACTGTTTCAACTCATAATTATGTGGTTTGTTGTTGGAAAGCCAGTTAAAAAAAAAGTTCGTAATTTTGACGAAATGGTGTCTCCTAAAACTTTTTAAGTTACAACTATTCATTCAACCTTTATTTAGACAGGTTAATCCCATTGCGCCTCGGGGACTCATTTACAAGAGAGACCTGACCTATGGTTCATTTCAAAGCACAGCCACATTTTATTGACATTTCCTGCAGTACCTGCATGTGCAACCAGAAAGAGGAGTTAGAAACACCTCATTGACTTAAGAGTTTGACTCCAGAACACTTTTCTGCTCTTGTCTACCACTCTGCATGCCGGCACCCACTCTGTAGCGCCACCCTCTTGTATTTCACTTAGAAATCAACCGGCATGGCCACCATAAACTCTTCATCCAGCTGCTCACTCCGAACACCAGCTCTACAAATGTGTGCGCACAGAAAAAGGAGTTGTCTATCAACTCAGTGGTTTGCCTGAGTCGCTGTAGGAGCTGCTGCACCACAGAACTAGCAATTTCTTCAGTTTCCCCCGCATGATTGAGCAGATTTTTATTCTTCCAAGCTCTCAGCCTCTGTGTTTGGCAGCTCTCTGCTCTCCTCGGTCTGAAGCAGAAATTTGACCTGGTCCACTGTGTCCACGCCAGTTCCTTCATTGTGTGCTTTTGTTCGGCCTCATCAGTTGGTTGGAGGGAGCTTCCATCCTTGAGTGCACAATATGTCAAACGGGATCAAAGTGATGTTTAGCGAGGCTCAATGGAACTAACCTGTATAAATAAAGGTTGAATGAAAAGTGATGTTTAGTATATTAGCTCTGGAGCTAACACCATGCTAATTGGCTATGGAAATAACCCCATGATAATTAGCACTTGAGCTAACACCATGCTAATTAGTTCTGGAGATAACACCATGCTAATTAGCTTTGGAATGAACACTACGCACATTAGCTCTGAAGCTAACAACACGCTATGCTAATTAGTTCTGGAGCTAACACCATGCTAATTAGCTTTTGAGCCAACACCATGCTTATTAGATTTGGAGCGAACACCACACTATGCTAATTAGTTCTGTTGCTAACACCCTGCTAATTAACTCAGGAGCAAATGTCACACATATTGACTCTTGAGCCAACACCATGCTAATTAGCTCTGGAGCTAACACCATGCTAATTAGCTCTGGAGCTAATACCATGCTAATTGGCTCCAGAACTAACACCATGCAAAATAGCTCTGAAACTAACATCATGCCAATTAGCTCTTGAGCTAACAATATGCTAATTAGTTCTGGAGATAACACCATGCTAATTAGCTTTGGAACTAACACCACACTATGCTAATTAGTTCTGTTGCTAACACCATGCTAATTAACTCAGGAGCAAATGCCACACATATTGACTCTTGAGCCAACACCATGCTAATCAGCTCTGGAGCTAACACCATGCTAATTAGCTCTTGAGCTAACACCATGCTAATTAGTTCTGGAGATAACACTATGCTAATTAGCTTTGGAACTAACACTTCGCATATTAGCTCTGGAGCTAACACCACGCTATGCTAATTAGCTATGCAGCTAACGCCATGCTAATTTACTCTGGAGCTAATGTCATGCATACTGGCTCTTAAGCTAATGCGAAAGCTAAAAGGCTAAAGCAGAGGCACACCTTCCACCCACCAGCTTTGCTGCCCTCCATCTGTAGCTGAAGTAAACTTGACCAAATATTGTCTATTGCTCCAACTCGTTGGGTTCTTTTAACAAATAAAAAGGGTCAAATTGAAAAGGTTTTCTGGCAAAAAAATAAAGACACAAAGACAGAGTAGAAAGTAAGCCTTAAAGTATAACTGTGAAACAATTTGTCGTGGAAAAAATATTTTTGAATCGTGTTGTCACAATTATTTTTAATGTATACACAGTAGTACGTCTCAGAGATAAGCTATACAGTTTAAAAAAATAAGTCAATTTTCTTGAAGCAAAAAAAACCAACACATTTTTAAGTTAGTTTAACTGTTAGATGCAAGTGAAGGGGGAAAAGGTCTTAAATGAAAGTTTTGAACCAAAGGTCAGCTGAAAAATGATTTTATTACAACTAGACTCAACTGGAAAAGATTAAAATAAGATGTTTCCAGTCCGAGCTGTCCTCACGGTTTTAAAGCATCATTAGCCGTCAGGTGGAATGTACCCATACACTCTTGGCTTCATCATCAATAGTCTCTTTTCATTTCACATAAAAGCTTTGTGGCTTTTTAATAGCTGCCGTTACGCAACCGCCATCTGGCTGAAGTTGACCCAATGCTCTTTTTACACCAAAGTGCTGCCATTACCATGTTTGTTTTTTACTAATTGATTCCCATCGCCATAAAGTCTTCATTTGGTGCAGTTTGAGGTTATGGTATTATATTTTGATTATAAAAGCCATTCTCTTCATTATGAAAAGCATCAATGCGGCCGGAGGTGCTGTGGGATGTGGATAATGCCCTCGATTTCACCAAATGTAAATGACTCTTTATGATGAGAAAAAGAAAGAGGAGGTGTTAAAAGGTTGTCGCCTCACATGACTGGAGTTACATCTGTTTCCTGTTTGCTACCTTGACACATCATCTGAGACTTGTTTGCATACTCAAAAAGAAAATAAAGAAGATGTGCTTCCCGTCAAAAAGCAAATCTCACATCACTTACTTTAAGAAAGCTGTCGGAGAATGAGGCGCGGTTTGACGAGACTCGGCTTTGATGATCTGAAGAGATTCCACTTCTCAGAATCCGAACGTCAGGTGGAAATGTGCTGGAAAAATCAACAAGACGGAGGAGATATGAAACGACAGCTGGGGAATCTAAACACCCCCAGGTTCTAGATGTTCTGTGGTACAGCTGCTACTTCCAGTTACTCAATAAACACCATTACTTTGGGCAAGTGTCATGTTTTTTTTATAAAGGGTGGGCGATACATCTACTATAGGTGGCAGTTCATGCATTGTTGCCAATGTTTTAGACATTGGCCCCCATAAGTTAATCTTTGGCCACCCCGATCATTTGAGGAAACTATACTTTAAAGACAAATAAAAACTAGAAAGCATTGTTTCCTCAAATGATAGTAGAAGGTTTACAAATGTAATTACTTGGCCATCTTGGATTTTGAAGTGGGAAACTAATTTTCTAAAGGAACCTTTATTATGCTTGGATGCAGCCACACATCATTCATTCAACCTTTATTTAGACAGGTAAGTCACATGGAGCCTAGAAGACTCATTTACAAGTGAGATCTGTTTAGACAAACAAAAAGTAGTGAAAGTGGACACATGTAGGAATTGGAGGCGAAAAAATTCCTCAGACTTTTTTTTCCTCCTGCCTGAGAAGAAAAAACTCTGATATTAAAAAACACCTCGCACAAACAAGCACGTATTGACGTAGACATTCCTACATTAATTGTTGATAAAACCAGCAACCAGCCGAATCCAAAAAGCAGGAACCAGTTACCGTAAATCCAATTAAATATGCGTCCTTAAAATCCACAAATGGCAGCAGAAATAGACACATCATTAAGTCTTCAAGTCGATGAGATATCCAGCTGTGTGCGTGCCAACAGGGCAAATCGGCTCGCCTAATTTATTCTCTTCGAAGAAATGTTATCAATTATGTTGGAGGGACCAACTGAGCAAAACAAGTCCATAATTATGGTTCGGAAGAAATGCAAGAGATTCTCAGAAGCAGTTTCACAGACAGACAGAGCAGCAAAGCAAAACGGAGAGGGAGGGGAAAAGCGTACAACCTCGGCAAGAGCAAGTGGTGAAAATGGAAATATGATCTTTATTTTCAAGTTATCATGATCACAACATTCACGAATGGACAGGTGGATGCAATTCAAATTCCCTCTTTTCGCTCTGTGACAAGGGATAACAACAGAAACAGAACTTGACTTTGGGTGCTGCAGGAAGGTCTTTAGATTATTTGTGGGCTCTCATACTTTAACTATGTTATGTTCAGATTTAATTCAGGGGTGACCAAACCTATTCATTTGTGGGCAGAACATGTCAAGCTGAAAGTACAAGCGAGTATCAAAAATTTGAATTTAAGAT